TTATTTATAATCTTTATTGAATAAAAAAGTTTCTGTTTCTGTTTCTTACTATATCCTACCTGTCTTAACGGCAACACATGTTCAACAGCTGTTCTTGGTGCAATACCTTTTTTTTAAAAAAAAATACTAGTAATGTTATTAAACATTACTAATATTCCATTTAACCACTTCTGGTAAGCTTAAAATGTTTGTGTTAGAAGTGGTTCACGACAGTAGTCGAATGGTGGATTCGAACTCACGACCTTTCGAATTCGCGGTTCGCGCCCTGCCATTAGGCTACTGAGGCTTCAAATGATATTAGTTTTATTCCTCCCCCCCCCCCTTTTATAATATATACTAAATAGGTACTTCAATTTTTAATATTTACGCATAAATATAATATAACGCGCATTCCAATTGTTTGAAAATAGTTTTCCTAATTATTTTCTATGTGGTTAAATAAAAGTTCATTCATTCGTTCATTACAGCTCTTCACAGGTCCACTGCTGAACATAGGCCTCCCTAAGGAATGCCACAAAGCACGGTCCTGAGCCACCTGCATCCATCGACTTCTTGCATGTCTTACAAAGTCGTCAAATGTTATTTAATGAAAAAAAAAACACTTAAAATAAAGTACGTAGGCCATATTTTCTTTTTTTTTTCTTTTCATCTACTAGTGTATTAGACATTGATTAAATGTAGGTAAGTCGACAAGCCAGGGTAGTTCAGATGGTTAGCGCTCGCTGTAAGTTTCACACTACGCGACAAACCCGGGTTCGATCCCCGCCGGCAACAATGACATTATTAATTGCAATTTTAAGTGCTGATTTACCACGTGCTCGGCGGTGAAGGAAAACATCGTGAGGAAACCTGCATGTCTGACAAATAAGAAAAAAAAATATATATTTCGAAGACATGTGAAGTTCGTCAACACGCATTGGAGCAGCGCGGCGGACTATTCCTTGCCCTAAAACCCTCTCAGAAATGAGATGAGGCCTGTGCCCAGCAGTGAGACGTGTATATAGGCTGCAACTTTTAACTTTTTAAGTCGACAAGATCTATACCATCTTTTAGATTGTGTTTTAAAATCTACAGTTATAAATCGGCTTTTAGATTAATGGATAGCACAAAGGTGTATTAAATCTAACTCAACAAATTTCTTAAGCTATAATCTGTTACTGGAACTTAAATACCAGTGTAAAATAGCAGCTTAACGCTGCTGTGTTTCGTATGGTGAGTGAAGAGAACTGGAGACCCTTTTTACTGGAAACGAAGCATTGCATCTTAGTCCTAAGGAGCAACAAAGCAGCTGCATTCTGATTCTTAATCGCGGATAAATGTAGATGTCTATGAGCCACAGCATTTACTTACACCATCAGGTGGACCGTGTGCTCGTTTGTCACTCGTATTCTATTAAAAAAAAACCTTTGTGTAGAAATCAAAATTAGCCAAACGAACATCTAGTAAAGCAAATTCGTAGTTTAGAAAAGTACTTCGAGCGTCGCCAAGTGAAATATTTCGTCAAACATTTAGTGGTTCGTTGAATACAATACCGTGGCAACGTAAACATTATCTCGGCGCTATGTTATTGTTCAGCCACTGTTGTAGCATCCACAGATCTATACCATACTTTAAAATAACTACATACTATCGTCTGTGTGTCGAAATTTAACCAATTGTGTGAAAATAACGCATTGTTTACATAACTTTTTTGCGTGGTAGAGCCATGCTACAGCTATATTAGGTTGTAGCACGAATGAGTTGGCTCGACCGGGGAAGGACTCAAAGAATACCAGCGTAATCTTAGTCCTCAGGGGTGATAACGTATCTTTTTTTAATATAGGATTGGGGTGACAAACGAGCACACAGTCCACCTGATGGTAAGTGGTTACTGTGGCCCATAGACATCCACATCTTTCCTCTATTACGAATTAAAATGCAGATGCGTTGTCACCCGTGAGAACTAAGATGGAATGCCTCGTTTCCAGTAAAAAGTGGCCAAGTGCGAGTCGGACTCGCCTATGAAGGATTCCGTAGCAGCAAGTAACATAATTTACGATTTATGACATATTAAAAATAAACTACTTACTAGATCTCGTTCAAACCAATTTTCGGTGGAAGTTTACATGGTATTGTACATGATATATTTTTTTTAGTTTTATCATTCTCTTAATTTAGAATTTACATGGGAGGGGGGGGGGGGGCACATATTTTACCACTTTGGAAGTGTCTCTCGCGCAAACTATTCAGTTTAGAAAAAAATGATAAAAGAAACGTCAATGTCATAAGACCTATCCATAGATACCCCACACGTATGGGTTAGATGAAAAAAAATTTTTGAGTTTCAGTTCTAAGTATGGGGAACCCACAAAATTTATTGTTTTTTTTTTCTATTTTTGTGTGAAAATCTTAATGCAGTTCACAGAACACATCTACTTACCAAGTTTCAACAGCATAGTTCTAATAGTTTCGGAAAAAACTGCTGTGACATACGGACGGACAGACAGACAGACATGACGAGTCTATAAGGGTTTCGTTTTTTGTCATTTGGCTACGGAACCCTAAAAAGGGTCTCCGGTTCTCTACACTCACTATACGAAACACAGCAGCGTTAAGCAGCTATTTTACGCTGGTATTCTGTGAGAGCGCGGTCTTTCCCCCGTCGAACCGACCCATTTATGCTACAACTATACCAGTAATATAGCTGCAGAATGACTCTACCACGTAAGGAATTGCAATTTTGATTCTTAATGGAAGATAGATGTAGATGTCTATGGGCCACAGCATTCGCTTACCATCACGTGGACTGCGTGCTCGTTTGTCACCCTTATTCTATAAAAAATAAATATTACGATTTCAAGTATTGCGCAGGTCGTTTTAGAGTGACGTCAATGTTCCCTTAAATAGAAGCACTAATTGATGAAGTGATCGCCTTCCTGTGCTCCTTTGCAAGATTGTTTACTACTATTGAAGGAAGACTATTTCAAGTTACGAGACATTTATTTATTTATTTATTGGGCATATCAGCGGGTACGACTGAAGTAATCATCATCACCATTACAGCCTCTCATAAGTCCACTGCTGAACATAAGCCTCCCCCAAGGAATGCCACAAAGCACGGTCCTGAGTCACCTGCATCCATCGACTTCCTGCATGTCTTGCCAGATCGTCACTCCATCTAGTGGGGGGTCGCCCAACAATTCGCCTACCGGTACGAGGCTGCCACTCGAGAACCTTTCTTCCCCATCGGTTGTCGGTTCTTCGAGCTATATGGCCGGCCCACTGCCACTTCAGCTTACTAATCCGTTGGGCATTGTCGGTTAGTCTGGTACTCTTTACTGCGGATATCCTCATTTCTAAGTTTATCACGCAAAGAAACCCCGAGCATAGCCCTCTCCATAGCTCGCTGAGCAACCTTGAGCTTCCTCATACGGCCAGCAGTGAAGGACCACGTCTCAGATCCGTAAGTCATCACTGCCAACACGCACTGGTTGGCACCTAAGACGACTGAAGTAATAGCTGAACTTATTCGTGATAGGTGAGAACGTACCTGTCATCTTCTTACTTTGGAGTTTGCTACAAGTGTCTGCGGATTTAACATTTTTTAAGAAGAAGAAGAAGATTACACTGACACTTTACAAAAGTTGAGAAAAATTTACAGCGAGCTGGTCTTTCACTGTTATAACATAATGATTTCATCTCGAAAATTAATGATCCAAAAGCTGAAGATAGCCCGGGTTAACCATGCTGTCATAACGTCAAACACCTCAGTCTTTGGTGACTTGGGTTTATAATGATACCTTAACTGTCGAAATCCATCCAATCGTTAGGAAGATACGAGGTAATAAAGATATTTACAAACAAATATACATAGACACAAGATACGCGCGAAATATATAACCCTTCCTTGGCAGTCGGGTAAATAGAGACTTTAATTTGCGATATTAACGCAATAATATAACGATATTACTACTTATATTTAACTATAGAAACAATGGAAGTAGCTCAGGTTTAGTACAATCGTAGGCTCCATAAATTACCTATGAGGCTAACTTAAGTTCGAACCTTGCCAGCACGCCTGAAATTGTGTATATGTGTGTATTTTTGAAAAATTAAAAATATTTTGGAACAGCGCTACAGACTCTTCCCTAAAAAAAAAGTTAAAGTTACAGCCTGTATACATCCCCCTGCTGGGCACAGGTCTCCTCTCATTTCTGAGAGGTTTCATCCTTCTTTTCTGGACTAAAAGTAGGACTGACGTTCCTTGCGCTGTGAAATAAATTATAATTCTTATAATTAAAAAAAAACTATTATTCGCCGCGCAAATATTATTTTAAAATATGAAGATATATAAACGTAATTATGAAGATAAAAACAGCGGACACTTTACAAAGCGAACGGAATAAATATCTGACCCACCTTAACTTAACTTACTTTTTGGCCGTGGAAGAAATGGTGAGATCTCCCGGGGGGCTATCTCCGGGGAGCGGCCAACGGTCCGTGTGTCCGTGATACAGAACTATTATACACCGCAGTACTTCGGAACTTTGATAGCGTGATTTAGGTTTCGGTGCGTTTCGCTTGTGGCGCGACGACAACATTATCACAACTTATTTACTGCGTTTGAAAATCGATGTTACATGTAAATTTACTTCTTGAAATTAAAGTTGTATTGTCTATCTGATGTTATCGCGGATGTGGATCTTGTGGCCCATAGACATCTACATCTATCCTCGATTAAGAATCAAAATACAGAATGCGTTTTCACTCTCTAGGACTAAGATAACCTCGATTCGGCAAGAACTAAGTAATGCCTCGATTCCAGTAAAAAGGGTATCTTGTTCTCAACACTCACCATACGAAACACAACAGCATTGAGCTGCTATTATACACGGGTATTCTGTGAGAGCATGGTCCTTACCCGAGTGAGCCCACTAATTCGTGCTACAACCACAATTTAGCAGTAATGTAACTCTACCACTTATAAAACACGTGTGAGTATCAAATATCTATTTTCGCAGGATACGGGCGGTTCAGTCGGAGCGTGCTAGGTGCGTGCGCGTGCGCATTCTTCACGACCGGTGTGCAGAACTGTGTGATGTCCTACGTGCTACCGGCAGCGAGATGTGAGCTTCAATTAACCACCTATCAAGCTGGGCTTGTCAACATGGCCTTTATGAGCGGTAAGGACATAAATACAAATTGGACTTAATTTATTCATTCATTAATTTAAGCTGATTGTAGCTTGAAAACGTCTTCCAACTCAGCAGTGAAGAAGTGCGGAGATATTTCCTTACCCTTCTTTGCAGTTCATCGGTTTCGTACACTAGTAATCCTAATAATAAATTAGCTCCACCTATCACAAAATTACAAACAGTGAAATCAGTACCCTATGGTATGTGTGTAAAAATTTATAATAAAATCCCTAAATGTCTACAAAAAGAAGAATCATTAAATAAATTTCAAAGAGAGCTTAAAAAATATTTAATTGCAAAAAGTTTTTATTCGTTGTCAGAGATTTTCGGTGAAAAATAATAATCGTATAATTGAATATTATATATATATATATATATATACGTTTTTATTATTCTTGTATTAACAATTATTGCAAATGTTTATTAAACCTAAAAGTAATGTTTAGCTTAAGTAAATAAAGTAATTATTCTTTCTAAATCAATTAAATTAAATTGATATACGAGTATAATGTTGCTATGCCCTATCAGGGCTCATGTTTGGCTCTATTATATCCAACATAAGAACTATTTATGTAACCACATGAACGCAATAAAAGTTTTGAGTTTGAGTTAGTTCTGTACCTGCATAGCCATCGCAGCCATGCTGCATAAATGCTTCACCACTTCGATATACCGACAGGCGACCTGGCACCGCTAAACGGACTGAAGCATAGCCCAAATTTTGAAGAAATCAATGGCTTTCTCATAGTCCACATAAACAAGGCAATGTGGTAGATTGTACTCCTCGGCTTTCTGTAAAATTTGCCGAGAGGAATGTGGTCTATGGTACTATAGCCTTTTCGGAAATTGCCTCGTTTGGGAGGCTGGAAGTCATCGAGTCTTCGTACGAAATGATTCGTAATAATTCCTCCTCCACCCCATAGTTCTACCCTCCTTGCATAATCTGGCATTTTAATCTTAATCAAGTTGTTACCAGTTTGGGTTAAGATGGAATGTCTTGTTAAAAGCAAAGAGGGTCTGATTCCTCTTGTGATGGTATGCGTGCACGAATTTAGTCAACTCCTTAAAGTTTTACTCGCAGCACAATAGGCTTATAAGGACAGTAGAGAAATGTTGGCGTTTTGTGATCAGAAATATCCACACCGATCAATTGTTACCGAAAGAAGCTGCGGCTAGTCGGTAATCAATCAAAATGATAAGACAAGAACAGTTTATTTATCGCTTTTGTTTACACATCCGTAATAAGTTCTAATTGAGAATAATGTACCCATTCGTCATGTGCACAGGACACGTGCGTTTAAACAAAGAAGACATAAATTATAGTCAACGTATAGATAACAAATTACATCTGTTCGCAACTTATCAATGAGAGGTGATGATGACGTTTGTCTGACCGACTTCGAGACTGCAAATAGACAAAATTTCCTCTTCTTTCTTATAGAATAAGGGTGACAAACGAGCACACAGTCAACCTGATAGCAACTTAATGCTGTGGCCCATAGACATCTACATCTATCACCGATTTAGAATCAAAATGTAGATGTGTTGTTAACTTGAGGTCTAGGATGGAATGCCTAGCAGAACTAAGCTGCTATTTTACGCTGGTATTCTGTGAGAGCGTGGTGCTTCACGAGGCCCTCCTCTGGTGGTACGGGAAAGGTCTGCCGATCCATTCGTGTTATAACCATAATATAGCTGCAGCGTGCTTCTACCATTTATAAGAGAAAAAAAAAACATGCATGAGTGTCGTGGAACACTCGGTTGAAACGAAGTTCCTTTCATAGTATATTATTATTGATAAACGTATTATGTTATTGATTAACAAATATAAATTAATTAATTATTAGCGTCTATTAAAATGAAGCGTCATTTAAAATAAAATACACTATGACACAAGGGGTAGTGACGAAAAAATCTTAGACTTTTTGTCGCCTAGCTCCCATCCGCCAAACCCGTACCGTCCGATATGGAACTTCGTTCCAACATATTATATGAAATTGAAATTATGTCTTAAAACCAAATATATCAGACGCTAAATTGTATGAATTAAATAGTCATTTATATTTTTTTTATAGAATAGGGTGACAAACGAGCGCACAGTCCACGTGATGATAAGTGGTTGCTGTGACCTATAGACATCTAAATCTAGCCTCAATAAAGAATCAAAATTTAGATGCGTTGTTACCCGTGAGTACTATGATGGAATGCTTCTTTTCCAGTAAAAAGTGTCTCCGGTTCTTTACACTCACCATACGAAACACAGCAGCAATAAGCTGCTATTGTACGCTGGTATTCTGTGAGAGCGTGATCCTTCCCCGGTCGAGCCAACCCATTCGTGCTACAACTATACTACTAATATAGCTGCAGCATGGCTCTGCCACGTTCAGGTAGCTGCTATTTTACGCTGGTGTCCTATGAGAGCGTGAGGCTTCACGAGGTTCTTCTCTGGTGGTGGGAGAAAGGTCAAGATCGAGCCAATCCATTCGTGTTATAACCATAATATAGCTGCAGCGTGATTTGTAAGAAAAACATATTATAAGAAATGGTGATTATGTCTCGAAACCAGATATATTAGACGATAAATTGTATTAATTAAATATTTATTTATATGTCGGAGAATTCAACAGGAGATCCCAATTTTGATCTCGGAAATACATCAGGATAGCGTTAACTGTTAAAAATAAAAAGTGTGAGAGCGGATGTTCAACTTGCTCTCGTGCTTACGCAATTAATCATTATCAGTAATAAGACAACGTAACGCACTATACATTCAGTATAGTGAAATTACAGTTCGACCACACCGTAACACGTCTCTGCCACAATCACACACCAGTGTAACGTGAGGTACGTAATTACATGATAACACCAAAATATGTAAACCAACAGCAACACTACTTATCTCACAAGAAACATACATTTGTACATTTGTTGTAACAGACATATATTTGTTCTATAGTTTTTAACCAATATAAACTAGAACTTACATTCAGATACTAAATGGAGAGTTCATTGTGAGGACAGGCCAAAGCACACCCACACCAATTTATTTAACTCGGAAATTGGCGAGTATTGGCCTAACCAGCATGATTTTTAACAATATGGTGGCGCTGTCATGGCTGGTATCATTGCACCAAAAGCGAATCACACCGAAGCCTGAATCACGCTATCAAAATTCCGAAGTAGCGCTATATAAAGAACAGCTCTGTACTAACACACGAGCGAAGAAGACGGAAGCGTAACTTTGATAGCGTGATCTAGTTTTCTGTGTGTTTCGTGTGTGGCGCAACCACAGTGCCGTCAACAGCTTATAAGATACTAAGCACCTTTTAGACAAAAATACAAGGATATAGCGACACAGTTATATCACTTGCTATAGTCACATTACCAAATATGTATATTGTATACATACCAAATTGTGATGCTTATTTGGTTTACTTAGCATTACATCGATAATTTAAACATAAGAACGTATAGAACTGTCAAAAATTATTTCTGATTATAGATCATATTATTTGTTTGTCTGTCAAGTGAATACGTTTCTTAGAAACATGTTATAAAATACCATATAAAATGTGGCATATTTGACGATTATATTAGGGCTTAAATGTAACTTTTATAATCGAAATACTAAGAAATCGTAGAATAGAATAGTATAATTTTTATTCAATATAGATTATAGTACATAATACTTATTGAAAGTAATTTTTTACTTTTTTAACTTTACATATATATATTATAACCAAACGACGGCGTAATTAACGTGGAAGGGTCATGTCGCAGCTGAATTACGAATGCACGAATGGATCGCCTTCATTTGGGAAGCACCACTCTCGCTCAGAATATTAAAATAAAAAACATAAATACATTTTTTAAGCCCTCGAGATAAAAAGAGCTGGTGATATTCAATCGGCTGAAAATATTTTCTTGAATCATAGCTAAGAAGAACACTTTCGATCAAGTCAACTTTCAAACAAAAAAAAACTAAATCAAAATCGGTTCTTCCGTTAAAGAGTTACGATGCCACAGACAGACAAACAGATACACAGATACACAAATGTTAAATATATAACACCCTTATTTTTCGTCGGTAGTTAATAATATTTTTAATCGATGCAAATTATTGCTAATATTTATTGAAGTCCAGTTTTTTTTTAATCTACCACTGGTTCGGAAAGTCTAGTTCCTGGAAAGAATCAGCAAGAAACCCAAAGGGATCATTATTTTTTGACATAAAATCTTACAATATTTTTTGCAATCATTTATATAAATTATAATAAAACCAGCATGGTAGTGATCGCTTCATTCTCAGGGGTTATTTCATTCATGTATTCCAATAACCATTTTTATACAGTTTTTGTTTTATAATTAAAATTGTTGATTGACCTACATTGATATAACAGTGGTAGAGCCACGTGGCGGCTTTTGCTGTCGCACGGATGGGCCGGCTCGAACCGGGGTAGTACCACGACCTCACAGAAAACCAGCGTGAAGTAGAGGTTTACCTCTGCGTTTCGCTTGGTGAGTGCAGGTGGCAGGTGGTAAGGCTTTTTTTACTGGAAATGAGGCATTCCATCTTAGTCCTCACGGGTGACAACGCATCTACATCTTGATTTGTAACAGAGGATAGATGTAGATGTCTATGGGCCGCAGCAACCACTTACCATCAGGTGGACTATGTGCTCGTTTGTCACCCTTATCCTATAAAAAAAAATTGGACAAATCTATTATTTAGTCCTGGCTACTAGGAGCTAATAATATACGTAATGAGACTAGCGATCCGCTCCGGCTTCGCACGGGTGATTTCTGGATCTGGACAATGATGCCACCTACCGGGTTCAGTTGTAAATCTAAACCATTCTCGAATCATCTTTATCACAAACACACGAAATTTCATCAAAATCGATCCAGACGTTTAGGAGGTATTCAGTCACATACACACAAATAAGGATAATAAGGGGAATAAGGGTGACAAATGAGCTCACAGTTCACCTGATGGTAAGTGGTTGCTGTGGCCCATAGGCATCTACATCTATCTTCGTTTGCGAATTAAAATGCAGAGGCGTTGTCAGCCGTGGGGACCAAAATGGAATGCCTTGTTTCCTGTAAAAATGGGTCTCTGGTTATCTACACTCACCATACGAAACACAGCAGCGTTATGCTGCTAGTTTTTGTAGTATTCTGTGAGTGCGTGGTCCTTCCCCGGTCGAGCCGACCCATTCTTGTTACAACTATACTACTAATATAGCTGCAGCATGGCTCTACCAAGTAAAAATATATAAAAATTAATATTTGTTTGTTGTTATTTGATGCGTTGCCATACCTTTCATCAGATCAGATCAGATGGGATAAACTTTGTCAATTTTGCTTGCACTTGCGCGATGGTTATAGGCATAGTACAATTAAATTAAAGTAGGTGGTGCGCGTATAGTACCGACAAAATTTAGAAAGTTATGCAATGAATCTGAAACTGAATAGAATATAAAAATTAAATTCAACTTCAATTAATGTATTATTACTTATAAGTAAACAATATAACTGTTTTTTTAATATTATTTTAAACCAGCGGTTAACTACAATCCCACCTGATGGTAAGTGGTGATGTAGCCTAAGATGGTGAAGCGCACTTACTTAAAGCCTATTCACTCTTGCCTTGAAGACACCCACATTGTAATCGGATAGAAACACAGATGCTGGCAACGTATTCCACTTTTTTGCTGTATCAAATTTAAAACGATGTTTCTTCTGCGGCAGCAATGCGCCGGGTACCAGCTAGTTATATATATAAAGATGTTTATCCTTCCTTTCCATTCAGGTGGTGTAGCGAGCGCATTTTTCTGGGGAATCGTTGCGGACGTCTTTGGACGGCGGAAAATCCTAAGCTTGACGCTACTGATAGACTCAGCTATCCTCCTGGCACAGAGTACAGTATCCGATTACCGTATTCTACTTGCAGCGAGGACCATAAACGGATTCCTTATTGGTGAGTGATATCCCCTATCGAAGTCAATACTTTTATTTAAATTACCCTTTAAAGCTCTAAAGCCGTGGTTGCTCAGGGGTTAAGTGCTCGCTGTAAATTTCACAGTACGCGACCAACCCGGGTTCGATCCCCGCCGGTATCAATGAAATTGTTAATTGCAATTTTAAGTTCTGATTTACCACGTGTTCAGCGGTGTAGGAAAACATCGTGAGGAAACCTGCATGTCTAAGAAATAAGAAAAAAAAACATGCGTGTCGTGGATCACTCGGTTGGAACGAAGTTTCTTTCGTAGTAATAATAAAATCTTACACTTTTTGTTGCGTAACCCCATCCGCCAAATCCGTACCGTCCGATAAAGAACTTCGTTCCTAAAAAAATTTTTCGAAGTTCTCCAACACGCATTGGGGCACCGCGGCGGACATTTCCTTATCTGCGCGTATGTAGGCTGTTAATTTATTTCACTTTTAAAACTCTAATGAATATCAAAATCAAAACAAGACCTTTTCATAGAAGAGTCGGTAAGGAACTTTGAGGTTTTTAATTATATTAAAATTAATTGCCATGTTACAATTTAATTTATAATTTCAATATTAAATGTATACGATACCATTTTTTTAAATGACTTTTGATTTTTAGATGTTGTTTCTTTTAATTTATAAAAATGGTAAATAAAATTACAAATGGATTTGCAGTTCACCTGGTGGTAAGTGGCCACTGCACTCCACGGACACTTGCAGCAACCTCAGATAGTTTGGAAAACCTAAAAGTGCACGCCTTATGAGCGTTTCATTTAATTTTGAAGAAATAAATAAGTGACGAAAATTTTACAACAAAATAAGCAGATAATCTGATCGACTTTCATTAATAACTTTTAGACCGTGCTGAGTTCAATAACAAAAATCAATAGGGATCCTCCTTAGAATATATGGAATCTTATTTAATACTATATATCTCAATCTATTGCATACATTTAAATTAAGCGAGAACACTCACCGACGCACAGACCAACGGACGGCTGTCCATATATTTTTTCAATTACATTTTTTGTTATGTAATCTAAACTATATCAATTAGAAAATAAACTGATATTATAATTCAATGTCTGTACTTATTGTAACGTTAATAATAATATGGATTTGATGTCTAGCTAAAAGTATAATAACGATTTCATGTAGAGAAATCGAGGTATGGCCACATATCGAGAGTAGAGCACTCCCTCACGTTGTGAGGTGTGCAATGAAGAAGGAATGCCTCACTGCCTCTAACTTTACTAAATATATATGCCCTTGTGTCTGGAATACAGCTTTGCGCGCACCCGGTGGCAGAAATAGACAAGGCTTTGTTCAAACCCCAAAAACCATCGCTTGAAAATGTTGAGTGACCGCTTCACACAAATAAGCGCGGCGACATCTCACAAGATGAATCTATAGGTGCAGGTATCTAAGGATCTTGCTTCAAGGTAGTTTTTAGAAGAGGTTTATGTTTTATTTCGTGCTAAATGAACTTTATACCAGCTTATATATTTATACCTACAGGTGGGCCGTCGACGCTTGTATTCACGTATTTATCCGACCTGGTGGGCGCGAGGAAACGGCAGCTTTATCTGAACATAACTGGGATGAGCTTCGTTGCTGCTTGGCTTATTTTACCAGGTGAACAATTTGTACTATTCAATTAGGCCTAGTTCTAGAGTGCAGCGGGCGTTGTATCGCTCTAATCACTTTTGGTATAAAGAATTTGAAAAAATGCGTCAATACTGTAATCTCAGTGGGAGCTGGCAGAGCCCAAAAGCAGCAAACCACTCGGACCACGTTTAAACAAAAAATTGTTTTTTTTTTTATATATAATAGGGTGAAAAACGAGACGGACTAAGATGGAATGCCTCTTTTCCAGTAAAATGGGTCTCCGGTTCTCTACACTCACCATACGAAACACAGCAGTGTCTAGCTGCCATTTTACGCTGGTATTCTGTGAGAGCGTGGTCCTTCCCCGGTCGAGCCGACCCATTCGTGCTACAAATATACTACTAATATAGCTGCGGTATAGCTCTACCACGTATAAATCGCATGTATCGCTCTAATCACTTTTGGTATAAAGAATTAAGAGAAATAGCGTCAATCCTGTAATCCCAGTGGGAGCCGGCAGGGCCCAAAATCAGCAATCTACTCGGACCACGTTTAGACAGAAAATTGGTTTAGTCCATCTACTATACAATCACAAACACAATATCCCATTATTCATCTTTTACAACCATGTAAGTAACACTGTTGGCACATTCCACTTTCAACCAACTTCAAAAAATGGAGGAGGTTCTCAATTCGACCGTATTTTTATGTGTTACCTCAGAACTTTTTTCTATGTGAACCGACTATGAAGGTTTTTATTTGAAAGATAATGCTTCTCATGTTGTCCCATATAAATTTTATCAAGATCTGACCATTAGTGTTTTGATTTATCCTTAATAATGCGTATTTAATTGACTTCGACTACATTGATGATTGTTTTCATTTATCTCGTTCAAGTCGGTTGTACAAAATTTTTACTTTTACCGCTTATATTTTAGACAATAAATAATTCTTTATTGCACACACCATAATACAAAATAAGAGAGAAAAATAAAATACAAATTGTGAAACTTTAGCGCAATGAGCGGTCTCAACATTAAAAGCGATTTCTTCCTGACAATTTTTATACATACATTCATAGATTTTTTACTTGGTAGAGCCATGCTGCAGCTATATTAGTAGTATAGTTGTAGCACGAATGGGTCGGCTCGACCGGGGAAGGACCACGTTCTCACAGAATACCAGCATAAAATAGCTGCTTAACACTGCTGTGTTTCGTATGGTGAGTGTAGAGAACCGGAGACCCTTTTTACTGGAAAAAAAGGCATTCCATCTTAGTCCTCACAGGTGACAACGCATCTACATTTTAATTCTTTATTGAGGATACTTACTTACTTACCATCAGTTGGACTGAGTGCTCGTTTGTCAATCTATCCCATAAAAAATACAGGTCAAGCTGATGAAAGCGTGTACTCTGCTCGTTCTATTCTATTCTATGCAAAGTTGATACCTAACAGGGTTGTCAACCCCGGGTTAGTTCATTTTTTTAATGTTTTAATTTTTTTTAATTAATTTGTCGCGTTCGTATCTTTATAAATTACTATATTATATAATCTTGGACCACATGAAACCAGAAATCGCAAAAACTGATTTTGACCTGACCCGGGATTCGAATCCAGAACCTCGTGACCAACAACCGCGTTTATACTTCTAAGCCAACAACGCAGTATAAAACACAGATGAACTAAGACTAAAGTACTTTCACTAAGTATTATTAGCACACTTAATTTTATACGTTGAAACTTACTTTCGAAGTAGTTATAAGTTTAAAAGTATTTTTTGCAACGCACCATTTTTTCTCTTTCACTAACCATATCTTTATTTAATCAAATAATATACTTACAAAGATGATTGACACCTAAATAAAAGACGGCGGTGAAACCTGGGTCAAATAATACAAATACATTTAATGCCAATGGAATCAAGATGGCCGCTTTCTTTGCTTACAAAGCGACTCGCTTCTTTTACTACTCTTGACTTACATTTTATTGGATCTCGGTAGTCAAGTGGTCTTGTATTGAGGACGAGAGATCCAAAAGCTCACGAAGGCGAAGGCAACCCACTCTTATCACCTCACCTGAAGGTTTGTTCACAAAGATAAATATTTTTATTTATTGCATAACTGTGTACAATATGATCTTAATACAAAAGCTTTGTTTTTGTATTAATTAGCACTGTTGAGCGTAAACACGACAGTTTTACGCTCAACAGTCTACCCATGTCGGATATATGCAACAAGAAAGAAAATAAATTTAAATTTACCTACTTACTACCATTACTTTTACTAAAAAAAACTTATTCAGATTGTAAAGAAAACATTTTCAATTAACAACTTTTTTGATTTTCTTTTGAACGATTCCATTAAATTGTTTAATAGCTAGTGGTACCTAACTGGTTGTGTGTATTTTTTTTATAGAATAGGGTAACAAACGAGCAAACAGTCCACCTGATGGTAAGTGGTCCTCGCAGCATAGCTGCATAGCACATCTCTGGTGGAAAAGCACCCTTAGAGAAATCATTGACTCATTTCTACCCGTGAGTATCTTAAAAGTCAGATTGACCTCCGATGTACAGCGATATCATCCTTCAACTGTATACATGAACAGCAGTAATATAGGTACATTTATAATAAATCGTATTTCTAATAATAGGTATTAGAAATACGATCATATTTATATTGTTTGCACACTAGCAACGTTTCTCTTTTCTCCACATATTATAAAGAAAAATATATTCAGGTTCAAATTTCTGCTTTTATTTATAGTCAAATTCAAAAGGCTTTTAAGTGATTAATAAAAATGTGAAGTTTGATTTAACAAGCTATCATAATTTTATTTTAATTAAATCTTTTTAAGTACAACCCTGACATAGAAAAACATATTTTCCGCGTTTTAAGAGAAAATATTACAAATAAACTATTAATAAAAAAGGAATAATTTATTTAAAAAATAATTATCTATACATTTAAATAAAATCGAGGTGTCTGACTGTAATATTAAAATAACTTTTTTTTATATAGTATAGGGCGATAAACGAGCACACAGTCCACCTGATGGTAAGTGATTGCTGTGACCCATAGACATCTTTTTTTTATAGGATAAGGGTGACAAACGAGCACACATGCCACCTGATGATAAGTGGTTGCTGTGGCCCATAGACATCTACATTTATCCTCGATTACGAATTAAATTGCAGATGCGTTGTCACCCGTGAGGACTAAGATAGAATGCCTCGTTTCCAGTAAAAAGGGTCTCCGGTTCTCTACACTCACCATACGAATCACAGCAGTGTTTTGCTGCTATTTTACACTGGTATTCTGTGGGAACGTGGTCTTTCCCCGGTCGAGCCGACCCATTCGTTTTACAACTATACCAGAAATATAGCTGCAGCATGGCTCTACCACTGTCAAATCTACATTTATCCTCAATAAAGAATCAAAATGCAGACGCATTGTCATCCGTGAGGACTAAGACGGAATGAGTCTTATTCAGTCAAAAGGGTCTCCGGTTCTCTACGCTCACCATACGAAATATAGCAGTAAGCTGCTATTTTACGCTGGTATTCTGTGATCCCATTCATGCTACAACTATACTACTAATATAGCTGCAGCATGGCTCTACCACGTACAAAATTATTCTATTAAATGCTTTAAAATATATAATATGTTTCTAATACTTACACAGGTGATTGTAGGACATTAGTATTAGATTAACGGTACCCAGCTTTCTGTTAAAGGAGGTTAAGTAAAAGTAATTTAGACATTGTAATAATATATTTGAAGGAAGGTCAAGGATTTCCGGATATGTGGCCTAGTGAAATGAAGTACATGAAGAGAAGTTTTTGTTTTGTTTTTATAATGCTGCAAAACGCAAGTCATCATGTTGTTATTCATAGTGATGGTTATTTCATTTCATCTATACAAATAAATAAAATTGAAGTGTCTGTTAAAGTATATACGGTACATATAACAAAAATACACTTTTTATAAATTTTATCTGTCTTTCTGTCTGTTTGTTTCGGCTAATCTCCAAAATGGTTGGGCCGATTTTGATGGGACTTTCGCGAGCAGATAGCTAATGTTATAAGGAGTAACATAGGCTACTTTATATTTAGAAAAATAAATAGGGTTCCGCGCAAAAAAATTAAAGCCCTAATTTACACGCTGGCGAAGTCGCGGGGAGCGGCTAGTTTTCTACTGACTTCAAAAAGGAGACGTTATTCATTTCGACTGTATGTTTTTATGTAGGTTACCTCATAACTCATAACTTTTTACTGGGTGACACGATTTCGATGATTTCTTCTCATGTGGGGTCCCGTATAAATTTGATCAAGGTCTGACCAATAGTTTTTGAGTTATTCTTTAATTTATATAGAAGTCGGTTGTACAAAATTTTAAATTTTAAATTATTTATAAAAAGTTACTCCGTAGTAGATATCTCGGAGGCGGTTTACGTGCATATTTTCTTAGAGTAAAAGTGAAAAGCGAGCACACAGTTTGATAAGTGGATGGTGTGCCTCACAGACATTTACATCTATCTTCGATTAAGAACCAAATGTAGTTGCGTCGTTACCCCTGAAGATTAAGATGGAATGCCTCCTTACCATTACAAAGCGTTTCCGGTTCTCTAAACTCACCATACGAACCACAACAGCATTACGCTGATATTTTAGGCTTAGTATTCAAAAACAAAAAAAAATTATGAATTGATTCGCGAATTTGAATATCCTGTTATGATAATGAAAAGGGGTATAGTACCTGTAGGATCCCCATGCTATGAAGTTCCTAAATAAACCGTATTCGAGGATGAGGGCATCCACGACTTTTTCTGCCACCAGGGCGGCGCCACTTAAAAGTGAGGTATAATATTTGACAGATGTCATAGCGGGGAAGTCGATTTGTGCGATAGATATAAAGGTTAATGTTTCTTTCTGTGGTATTAGCTATATTTTACATTAATAAGACAAAAAATAACAAAAAGTTAAAAATGTACAAAAAATTAAGGCATTGAGGCATTGTTTTGTGTATATAATATAATACTCTAGAAACTGATAAACTTTTATTAACAACTAACTTCACAATTAAATTAGTTTGTGTAAGAAAAACTTTACCTCAGTGTCAACTAGCGACATCTGGTGAGCAGAAAATTATTAGCCTTCATTCCATCTCAGGCCTAAGTATAGTGTTTCCGATTCTATACAGTCATCATACGAAACACGCTGCTATTTTATGCCGGTACTCTGTGAGAGCGTAGACCTTCCTTGATCGAGCCGACCAATTCGTGCTACATCCTCGTTGCTGCAGCATGGCTCTACCGCGTATAGAGAATAGACTACTATATATCATTGCGTATAATTCAATGGTATAGAAGAACAGATTACAGAATACAGACATTGCTTATAAATAATTAAGTGTTTCTGGTTTCCTATTAAAAATACATTTACAACTCGCAACCTCCTTCACGTGTATAGGATATCTATTAATGTAAGTTAAAAGACCGTTAATTTATTTTATCATCGAAAAAAAAATCTTCAAGTTTTGCGGATAAATATAGCCTAGACTACTAGACGAGGAGTACAATTTGCCACTATGTCTGGCGTATGTGGACTATGAGAAAGCCTTTGATCCGTCGAAATTTGGGCGGTGCTGCAGTCCCTTCATCGGTGCCAAGTTGACTGTCGCTATATCGAAGTGCTGAAGTGTTTGTACAGTAGAGCTACAATGATATGATATAACATCTCATTCATTGTATGAATAATACAATGAATGAGATGTTATATCCCCGAAACTCTTTACCGCTGCATTGGAAGACGTTTTCAAGCTTCTGGACTGGAAAGGATACGGTATTAACATCAATGACGAGTACGTCACTCACCTTCGATTTGCCGACAATATAGTCCTTATGACAGAATCGCTGGAGGACCTAAGCACCATGCTCAATGACCTCAATAGTGTCTCCCAACGAATAGGTCTTAGGATGAACATGGACAAAACAAAGTTCATGTTTAATGTCCATGTCACACCTGTGCCGGTAGTTGTTGGGAGCACTAAGCTCGAAGTTGTTGACGAGTATGTTTACCTGGGACAAATAGTCCGACTAGGTAAGTCCAACTTCGACCGAGAGGTCAATCGACGGATTCAACTCGGCTGGGCAGCGTTCGGGAAACTACGACACATCTTCTCGTCAGACATACCTCAAAACCTTAAAACGAAATTGTACAACAAGTGCGTGTTGCCAGTGATGACTTACGGATCTGAGACGTGGTCCTTCACTGCTGGCCGTATGAGGAAGCTCAAGGTCGCTCAGCGAGCTATGGAGAGGGCTATGCTCGGGGTTTCTCTGCGTGATAAACTTAGAAATGAGTATATATCCGCAGTAGAACCAGAGTAACCGACATAGCCCAACGGATTAGTAAGCTGAAGTGACAGTCGGCCGGCCATATAGCTCGAAGAACCGACAACCGATGGGGAAGAAAGGTTCTTGAGTGGCTGCCTCGTACCGGTAGGCGAAGTGTAAGGCGACCCCCCACGAGATGGAGTGACGACCTGGTAAGACATGCATGAAGTCGATGGATGCAGGTGGCTCAAGGCCGTGCTTTGTGGCATTTCTTGGGGGAGACCTATGTTCAGCAGTGGACTTATGAAAGGCTGTAATGATGAATGATAATGATGAAGACTTTTATACATGTTAGAGCCATGCTGCAGCTATATTAGTAGTATAGGTGTTGCACAAATGGGTCGGCTCGACCGGGGAAGGACCACGCTCTCACAGATTACCAGCGTAAACTAGCAGTTTTATGCTGCTTTGTTTCGTATGGTGAGTGCATAGAACCGGAGACCCTTTTTACTGGATACGAGGCATTCTATCGTAGTCCTCACGGGTGACAACGTATCTGCAATTTGATTCTCCGTCGAGGATTGATGTTCATGTCTATGGGCCACTGCATCCATTTACAATCAGGTGGACTGTGTGCTCGTTTGTCACCCTTATTCTATAAAAAAAAAATCATAAAATATGTCTTAACATATCAGTTTCTTTTCACCAAGGTAAACATTGAATATAGACAATGTTTGTCCGTATTCACATTCTCCGTATATGACTGTTCTTTGAAACATTGTTTGTTTGCTGGATGGTATGCTAAATAATTGAGAAAGATACAGTTCTTGTGTGTTCTCGTGAATTTGTCGATCATCAGGTGCCGGATTCTTATCCGGGGTCGGGTCAAAATAAGTTATAGGGTTTTTAGCCGACTTCAACAAAAGGAAGAGATTCTCGATTCGACTGTATTTTTTATTTGTGTTACCCCAGAACATTTTTGTAACTGAACCGATTTTGATGATTCTTTTTTTACTTGAAAGCTGGTGATCCTCACGTAGTCTTTTATAAATGTGATCAAGATTGCAGTAATTTTTGAGTTATCCTTAATAATGAGTATTTAATTGACTTTGATTACATTGATGATGTTTTCATTTTATTTATATTGAAGACGGTTGTACAAAATTTTTAATTTTACCACTTGTTCTGTCAATAAATTATCAGCCTGGAGTCAGGAAGTTGCCAGTGTTTCATGCCTGCACCACAAAAAGCAGGTAAAGCCGTTGGTCCTGCGCCTGATCTCTCTCCGGTTGTCTCTTGGCTTATGAGAGTGTGGGACTAGAATAGTACGTCTCTCTCTCTCTCTCTCTCTCTCTCTCTCTCTCTCTCTCTCTCTCTCTCTCTCTCTTTATTGAGATTGGCCGCCGTAACCGAAATGCAGTCTTGAATATATTATTGTAATAGTTGTCACAGTAGGTCTAAATTAAAAACGAGGTCAATATCATTATCATCATCAAAATGTTCATCTTAACCTTTCTCTTTATTACAGCAATCGCTTGGCTGGTAATACCATTTAAAATAGAAAACCACACAACCATGCTGCCCATTCACTCATGGAGGCTGTACCTGGCGCTTGGCAGCATACCGGGATTCTTGTCCGGTGTGTGGGTTCTATTCCTACCAGAGAGTCCCCGGTTACTGTGCGAAACAAATAGAAGCGAGAAGGCACTGAAATTGTTGACGGATATCCATAGGAGCAATGTGGGATTCGCGGGAGAATATAAGGTTGGTTAAATTATTTTGTGGAGGTGATCGTGCTGCGTTTCTTTTGACTTAAGACTTACGACCTTTTGCTATAGAATAAGTGACACAAAGTAATACAAAGCTCACCCGATGGGAAGTGGATGCTGTGGCCCATAAACATCTACATCTATCCTCAATTAAGGATTATAATGTAGATGTGTTGCCACCCCTGAGGACTAAGATAGAATGCCTCGCTTCTAGTAGAATAGAATAGAATAGAATATTTTTTTATTCAATATAGATCACATGTGTAATTCTTATTGAAAGTCATTTTTTATTTTACCACTGCTCTGGTTCGAAAAAAAAACTGTCCTTGGAAGAACCAGCAAGAAACCCCGCAGGAATATTTAAAGTAAATTTTACATAAATGGTTGTACAAACTATTTACAAAATTTATTTTAGAAACTGCTTGGAAACTAGCTTCATTCCCAGGGGTTATTATCAACCCTGTATTCATTTATATTATAATAACACAATTTATACAGTTTTATTAAATTAAATATTTAAACTTGGTAACAGAGCGAGCTTGTATTTCTGAGACTTTGTTGCAATGCGTAGACATTGCCCCAAGAATGAATTACTGACTCTGTGGTGTCGAGAGACTGATATCAATAACTTGCGTTTGTTGCTAGTGTTTACAGAGTGTATATATCACTTTCTATACTAAAACTATCTTTGTTTCTGTGAACATACATTAAATATACTGAGAGTACAAAGTTAGTATATTTATTTCTTTAAATTTATCTCTAAGAGACTCTCAATTTTGGGTTGTAAATAGCTCTAATGGCCCTTTTCTGTAAAACAAAAATAGTTTCGGAATCAGCCACATTTCCCCATAGCAAAATCCCATAAGACATTATGCTATGGAAATAACTGAAATAAACTTTAATGAGTTGCTGCGCTGGGGGGCGCGGGTTCGAATCCCGCACGGGACAAGTATTTGTATGGCCTACAAATAATTTTTCCGGGTCTGGATGTTTGTCCTTGTGCAATTTGTTTTTGTAAACTGCCTCCACGATACATGAGAAAATCATAAAAAGTTGTTGTAAAACAGAAATTTTATTTCATGTTTAGTAAACATTTTAACCAGTGGTTTGGCTAGAATGTCTAACTGCTCAATTTACCCCGTACCCTTGCTCAAATTACTCACCTATGGGGTATGTTGAGCATCTTTGAGTTACTTCACTTAAACAGCTGCAACTCTTAAATGCGATCAGTTAGAAATAAATTAATATGAAAACTTTTGTAAAGGGATAGATTACTTACCCATGAGTATCCATAACAAACCATTAAGACTTACCGTTGAGGAGCTATGACCACTCAAGTGAAAAATTGCTGAACTAGCCCCGCCCTACCCTACGCCGATACCCCGACCAGAACAGAGCGGATATTGCAATGTTTTAGAGTTGTCCAAGCGCTACCCGTTATACTTGTAGTTTTTTATAGAAGAGTTGGCAAACTAGAATGCGGCTCACCTAATGGTAAGTGTCGACCGCCGCCCATGAACAACTGCAACACTAGGAGAGTTGCAGGTGCGTTGCCGGCCTTTTAGAAAGGAATAAGGTAGTTTCTTGAAGGTCTCTAAGTCGTGTCGGTCCGGAAAAATCGCCGGTGGTATACGATTCCGGATAGAAGTCGGGCTAGAACGAAAACTCTTTGTAAATTGCACAGTAGTTGCCCGCCAAGCATCCAGATGATGTGGATGGTAAAGTGATTTATGTCGCGATGTGCGTTGGTGAAATTTGGCATGTCGATGACGCGAACTCATAAGATTTAACCCATCTGAAAATTTCCCAATGCGCCTAAAGAAGTTTTCACTTTAAAAACCTATTTCAGATAAAGAAGCTGATACCAGATAATATTTTCATTGCGAAGACTGTGAACGGAGAAGAGAACAGAACGAAAGCTCTGTTTGTCGGCGTGCTCAAGGATCTGAAGATGTTCGTGTCTAAGAGTTACGCCTGGAAATCCACGCTGATTCTATTCGTTTTCTTTGCTAACATGGCCGCGTAAGTATTCATCATCATCATCACTGCTGCCCATAAAAATCCATTGCTATACATAGGCCTCCCCATAGATTGCCAGAAAAGGGGGCTATTTGTGATAGTTGCCACGCTAGGCGAGTTGGCAACTGCAGTTTTTTTAACAATTTGAGTCGTTATCATGAAGATTCTGCTGCCCATCTCCTGTTTCAGTTTCCTATGTAATCTCTTACGAGCCCCACTATGAGTTGATATTCTAACACCGCCACTTGCGTGAATATTACCTGTGAGGCAAACCATTGTAGCCCTCAGACTTTTTTGTTTTATTTATGCCGGCTGTAACAGCCAGCTATCTACCATCTGGTTTACAAGGTGTATATGGATTGTATACGGATGCCTCAATGTTTTGTTCTGCATCTTACTGCAATCTGCAGTGCTGTTTTATCGCTTAGCAGGTGATTAGGAGAGGTTTTTTTTTTATAGAATATGTGTAACAAACGAGCACATAATCCACCTGATGGTAAGTGGATGCTGTGGCCCATAGACATCTGCTTATAGGCCCGATCAAGAATCAAAATGCAGATGCGTTGTCACACGTGAGGACTAAGATGGAATGCCACGTTTCTAGTAAAATGCATCTTCTGTTCTCTGCTCTCACCATACGAAACACAGCAGCATTAAGCTGCTATTATACGTTGGTATTCTGTGAGAGCGTGGTCCTACCCCGGTTGAGCCGAACAATTTGTGTTTTAACCTGCAGCATGGCCTTATCAGGTATAAAGTATCAGAAGTCTCACACCTTTATTGGCTCCGTTTCCTTCCCGGTCTCTCGGGCTACATCGCAATAGTTTACGCTGCGTTAATACAAAAAAAAAGCGATTATTCAAATCACCACCATCATCAGCATCATTATCTTCATTAAAAACTTGCACAGTTATTTGGTAACCATTTACTTTTAGTTAATAATTGTCTCGTTGGTCTAGTAGTTGAAAGCGCGACTGCTAAACATGTGTACCGCGTTTGAATCCAGGGTAAAAATCAGTTATTTGGTTTTTCTATCAAAAAATTCCAAGTAGTATAGGAAGGTGGTTGTTATTAATTCCCGAACAGAGAGACGTCCACTTTAGCCTTTAGTACTGCACCTGGTCACTCTCCGTTCGTGTTGGATTAGCTTCAAATTCAGAACGAATTGCCTCATGGTACAAAACACTGGGGATGGATTTTACGCCGCGGCTCGTTTAACACCGCCCGGAAAAAACATACAAAGCACTTACTAGTAGTTATTTACCATAAGTAAAACCACATGCTCATTTGGCCCCTGTTTTACAAAACCTAAGCTGTGTATTATAAAAAAAAGACCAAGTGCGAGTCGAACTCACGCGTGAAGGGTTTCATACCATCGTAAAAGATTTAATACTATGTTTTTTTATAGGGTTAGCGGGACAAGCGAGCATACAGTCCACCTGTTGGTAAGTGGTTGCTGTGACCATAGACATCTACATCTATCCTCGTTTGCGAATCAAAATGCAGATGCGTTGTCACCCCTGAGGACTAAGATGGAATGCCTCGATTCCAGTAAAAAAGATTTCCGGTTTTCTACACTCACCATACGAAACATAGCAGCGTCAAGCTGCTATTTTACGCTGGTATTCTGTGAGAGCGTGGTCCTTCCCCGATCGAGCCGGCCCATTCGTGCTACAACTATACAATTAATTTAGTTGCAGCATGGCTCTACCACGTAATATTATTTTGTTCTATCCTAAGTTTTTGTATTTTATGTATTTATAATTACTAGGTAACTTTTTATTAACTTGAAGCATGTGGTGTATACCTTTAATTGATTGTGCAAATAGTATATAAGTGGATGTGTGTTTACTAATTCTGCATTGTTGTACCAATCGTTGGTGTACTTAAATAAATAAATAAAAATTTAGGTAAAAATGCGTATGTAGTAGGGGAGCCTCCTTTAATTTTTTAGATTTTTTTATTTTTATACAGATATACACACTATGTGAATGTTTCAACTGTCTACCTATCACGGATCATGAGATAGAGCCCGCTGACAGATAGTAATATGGCCCCGTTGGTCTGACCCTTCGCCTACGGAACCCTTAAAAACTAAACTTATACCGTTGTAATTATTATGAAGAACTTTTTATTGGTAACGAAACATTCTGTCTTAGTCAGTGTAACAACTGACAACGCTACATTATAAGCGTTATTCGAAGTTAGATTTACGAGATTTATTTACGAGATTATAGAGATTTATTTACTGTGTGCTGTTTGTCATCCTCTTTCTTAAAAAAAACCTTTTCTATTTTCAGTGGTTTCGGCCTTAACCTCTGGATACCGGAGCTCCTACTTCGGATGCAAGGGACAGAATGCGCATACGCCCGTTCGACTGCCGTCCCTGAGAGCGCTAGGCTGTTTAACGCAAGTAACATAGCATGGAAAGACCTACCAAAGGTTTACGATTCATGGAGACCAAACCAAGATATAAACAATGGTACTTTGGTCGACTCTCTTGATGGTAGGAGTGGGAGACCAAGGTGTGAGGAGAATATTGACAGCACTGTAAGTATTTTTCATTTGTTCATTCAAAAAATAGCCTTTTATTTCCAAAATCAAAAATTACAATAAAATTTTCTTTTTATAGTTTACCTTATTCAATTCGTACCATCATTAATATCATTATCAATTATGAACTTTATTAAAATATTATAATATAACACGAGACATTTAAAAAATTAACTAATTCCTTATAATGAATAAATCACTTACATTATATATCATCATCATATAAATTAATCAGAACACTTACATTTATTTGAATTATTATTATAAACAAAAGTTACTGCCTATATACACCTTCACATTACTTATTAATATTTTTTTCCTTTTTTTAGACATGCAGATTTCCTCACGACGTTTTCCTTCACCGTCAAGCACGTGGTAAATCAGCACTTAAAATTGCAATTGACAATTTCATTGGTACCAGCGGGAATCGAACTCGGGTTACTCGCGTGTTGTTTACGTGGTAGTAAGCCATGCTGCAGCTATATTAGTAGTATAGTTGTAGCACGAATGGGGTCAGCTCGACCAGTGAACGGCCACGCTCTCACAGAATAAGAGCGTAAAATAGCACCTCAAAGAGAACCGGAGATCCTTTTTACTGGAAACGGGGCATTCCATCGTAGTCCTCACGGGTGACGAAGTATCTGCATTTTGATTCTTAATCGAAGATAAATGTAGATGGATTGTGTGCTCGCTTGTCACCTCCATTCTATATAAAAACACGTACGTATGCACGTGTGACTGCTTGGTTGGTCTAGTGGTCGTAAATGCAACTGTTGATCACGAGGTCCCGGGTTCGAATCCCGGTTCCGAAAAATTTTGTGCTTGAGTTGAGCCTGAGTCAAGAAAGGGAGTATAAACGTGCATTTAAGTATGCTTGTACTTGCTTGCTTATTATAATAGAATAGATTTTTTTTTATTAAATGCAGATTACAATATAATTGTAATTAAAAGTTGTATTTTACTTTGACTACGGTTTCGGGAAAACCTCATTCCTGGAAAAAAACGGCAAGAAATCCAGCGGAACTTTTTTTTACAAAATGAACAAAGGGTATACAAAATACTTCCAAATTTAGCTTGGAAGCGACAACCATTCGCAATGGTTATTATCCACCTTTTTTAATTTATACTAGCTGTGCTTGCGACTTCGCCCGCGTGTAATTAAGGGATTTAATTATATTGCTCAGAACCCTAACTCTTTTTCTCAAATATAAGTGGCCTAAGTTACTCCTTAGGACATCGGCTATCTGCCAGTGAAATTCCCGTCGAAATCGGTCCAGCCGTTTCGGAGATTAGCCGGAACAAACAGACAGACAGACAGACCGACAAACAGACAAAAATTTCAAAAATTGTGTTTTTGTTATAAGTACCGTATATACATACATATGCATTGAGTAAAAAAACTGTTATTTTAACATTACAAACAGACACTTCGGATTTATTTATTTGTATAGATTATACTAGCTGTTTCCTGCTACTTCGGCCGCGTGGAATTATTTTGCGCGGAACCTTAAATTAAAAGTTACTCCTTATAACATCAGCTGTCTGCCAGTTAAAGTCCCATCCAAATTGGTTCACAGGTTTTTGCGTGATGCGTGTTCAGACAGACGACGTGGTTTTTTTTTCGACTTACTTAACATTTATGATTATATTTTGGACAGTTTACACAATATCTTTATTAATTATAGCTTATGTTTTATTTTGATGTATGAGCTGCATAATTGTAAAGATTTATTAAAATCCATTTAGTAGTTTTTAAGTGAAAGAGTAGAGTGACAAACATCCATACATTCTCACTAACTTTCCCATTTATAATATTAGTAGGAAGTAGGATAACCCTTTTAATACAGTTATTGTTAAATAAAATATTGATAATTTGAAATAAAGGGACCTTGTATTTTTTATGGGACTTTGTTTCAATAGCCTTAACATTGCCCCATGAATGAATTACTGACTGATATTGTAAAATACACACTCGAAAGGCAAATCGAAAAAAGATCCATTATTGAGATATCGATTTTAAGATTTATGAGAAATCTATCTTTTAGACTTTTTGTGAATCGATTCATCAGATTTCGATTCGAATCGATTTAAAAATCGATATTTATTTATAAGAATCGCCATTCCATACAGGTGTTCACGTCCGGGTTGATAGTGGGCGCGTGTTGCGTGCTCGGCAACGCGGCGTGCGCGGTGCTGAGCGGGCGCGGCGGGCGGGGCGGCGCGCGGGGCGTGCAGCGCGCGGCGGCGGCGTGCGCCTGCGCGTGCGCGCTGGCGTGCGCGTGCCTCGCCGCCAGCGCCTGCGCCTGCGCCTCGTCCCGTAAGCTGGCCGTGGCGGCGGCGGCCGTGCTGAACGCGGCGTCGCTGAACGGCAACGTGCTGTTGATTAGACTACTGCTGCACGCGTTACCCGCTAAGTTAAGGTAATGGTGTGATTTTGATGTGAATATAGTAATGGCGTAAGAAAATCCACTACCACATATCGGTCCCGTGGGTCTCGTAAAAGGCAACACAGGAAAATTACAACCAAGGTAACACCGTCTAATACTGTTTAAAAAAAACGGTCTGCGAAAAAAAAAAAAAACTAATAATATCCATTATACAATTATATAACAACTTTATGACAGCAGAAGTGATCAAAGTTAAAGTGAGAATGGTCGAACTAACTAATCAACCTACCACCATAGTAGTTAATCCTCAGGAGATGACAACGCATATTATGGTACCTTCTTTGTTTGAAGTTAGCTGCAGACAGTATAGAATAGAATAGAATAGAATATTTTTTTATTCAATATAGATCACATGTGTAATTCTTATTGAAAGTCATTTTTAGGGTTCCGTACCTTAAAAGGAAGAAAACGGAACGCTTATAGGATCACTTTGTTGTCCGTCTGTCTGTCTGTCTGTCAAGACCCTTTTTCTCAGGATCGCGTGGAGGTATCAAGTTGAAAATTCAAATACTCAAGTCTACTTTCCCTTGGAGCTGTGAAAAAATCAAACTTCTAAGCCAACGCAATCAAAAGATACAGCCGTTTAAGCCGCAAATTTTCGTCATTCGTAAGGGAATCAAAACCTACAGGGTACTTCCCGTGAACTCAGAATCTCAAAATTTGGTACAAAGCAACGTATTATAGCACAGATAAAGGAAAAATTGCGAAAAGCATACATTTTTAGTTACATCATACAATTAAAATATTTTTAATAATTTTAAACTTATATGCCTACGGATTTGTTCGGAACCCTTGGTGCGCGAGTCCGACTCGCACTTGGCCGGTATTTATTTACTTTACCACTGGTTCGAAAAAAAAAATCTGTCCTGGGAAGAACTACCAAGAAACCCAGTGGTCACTTAATAAAAATAAAGGTGTCCGAAATGTCGGGTGGACTGCCGACCGAAATTATACCTGTAGTCGTTTCTGCGAAGTTCGTTTATCACTCATGTGAAAGTAGTGTAGTTGTACCACTTCTAGACCACCTGAGTCAGACGTGGTTCAACGACGTTCGTCGACACCCGATCCTAAAAAAAAAAAGGTTTTTGGCATGCTCTGATCACGAATCCGCGGTCCATTTTTGTGTAGAATGCACGGTTCCGGAGATGTGTAGATCAATTAGCTAATATCTAATTGATATCCGGTAAGGGCCTCCACCGTCATTAGCGTCCCATTGTTCCTATTTCTATTGTTCTATTGTTCATTAATCACCTTCATTGCAGCGTGTGCGTCGACTATATCAGTGCTATTGTGTTATAGTTCTTTGTTCCTAATTATACAACGCTAATCTGAATCATCAATAAAACACATTACATAATTTTGTTACAATTTTTATTTATAAAATACAAAATCTTATTAATTATTATCTATAAAATAGGAGCGAAACATCTCATCCACTAAAATATCGTTGTACAATGTGTTCCTTGTAAATATACTCGTAAAACTATGTATTGAACATCCTTGAAACTTATATAGCAAATACATTAAGCAATATTCGCCACAAACTGAAGTCCACTCATTCTGAATCCTATCAACATTCCAGTTCCATCTTTTACAATTGCTTTTTAAAAACTCTAGATGATATCGTACAGGTGATCGTCCATATGAATCAAAATATTGACCGACGTCATTCGTATCGATATATAAAGCTACCCAATGTGACCCTGGTTTATCATCTGTATCCAAATTACATATTATATACGTTGGTACGTGGGTATACATAGGCAGTCTATTAGCTGCATAAACATTATTTTCTAGACTGGGGTGAATCTTTTTCAGATGTTGTTGTACATCTAGTGTATCCATGATATTACTGCTATTAGTAGATTATTACAGTACCTAGCTACTCAATGAATAACATAGGAATGGTCAATTATAGTGATTTCTACATATTAAATTGCATTTTTGTGTTATACAAATCGTACTTGAGTCATTGATCACCAAACAAAACACAATACGAAGAAATGTTGAGATAGGCAACGGAAATGTGAGATAAACTGATATGTTTCTAAATATTAAATTGCATTTTTGTGTTATACAAATCGTACTTGAGTCATTGATCACCAAACAAAACACAATACGAAGAAATGTTGAGATAGGCAACGGAAATGTGAGATAAACTGGTTGACGCATAAAGTAATTATCAACTCATTACGGAAATACTTTAGATTAGAATTTTTACGTACTGGTGGTATATAAGACCAACAAACGCAGTCATCGAGTTAGTGTACGGTCGTTTGGCTACAGTGGATCTATCAATAGTACATTTTGTGTTACTTCAATACACCAAAGGCTATGGATGTAAGTGTTTATTCTATTGACTAAATTACTTTTTTTCTGTTATTTTCATGTGTGTGTATTATTTTATTTAAATATTGCGTATGTATATGATTAAGCCGTGGTAACTCAGATGGTTAGCGCTAGCTGTAAATTTCACAGTACGCGACCCGGGTTCGATCCCCGCCAGCACCAATTAAATTGTTAATAGCAATTTTAAGTGCTTATTACCACGTGCTTGGTGGTGAAGGAAAACATCGTGAGGAAACCTGCATGTCTGAGAAAATTTCGAAGGCATGTGAAGTTCGCCAACACACATTGAGGGAGCGCGGCGGACATTTCCTTGCTCTAAAACCCTCTCAGAAATGAGAGGAGGCCTATGTTCAGCAGTGGACTTTAATAGGCTGTAACTTTAACTTTTTTAACTTTTATGATTAAGTGTTAACAAATTGATATTAACATGATAACTGTGTTGTTGCAGAAATCATTGAGCTTCGATGAAGATACCTATAAACAGTATTACTACTCGCCACTCTCCCCTCAAGAAGAGAGTGATGACCTCGTCATTAATAATAACACATGCGATGGTGGAAAAAGAAAATCGCAATCGATTGATCATTTTTTTGAAGCTGAATCAAAAATAAAAAAGAGGAAGGGAAAACTTCAGTGAAGTGTGCACCAGTGCTTTTTTCTCCACAATCATGGAAGAGAATACGGAACTATTCAATAGCGAATTAAATCAGGAGTTGTCTAAAGTTTGTGAAGAAATGGAGAGGGGTCAACTGTTCGATTCGTCATACGATGATGAGTTGTATCATCACTGTGCGATGGTTGAAACACAGTTTAAGTATGTAAAATAAACATTCATTTCGATCATAATTTACATATTGTCTTATACAGTTTTTAATAAATTTAAACATTTTAGCAGTCAACCACTACAACTTGGAAGAGGAACGAAGCGAACGTGCAGCAAAGAATCCAAGATCATCAAAAAACCAACAACGGAAGCAGAAGCGCATACCTCTGCAGGGAACAGTATCAGTAACGATGATCAAGTGGAATGTCCAACGTGCCATATATTTATCAAGAAACGGTATTTAGCTAATCATTTTAAAAGTAATGTTCATAAAAATAATCTTTTAAATTCACATAATTCTTTATCAAACGTTAGTGTTATTGAATCTGCTTATGGAAATAGGATTTTAACTTATAAAATCAAGAGTAGAGTAGATCGTTCGACATGGGTAAATTTTGAAACTCCTGAACTATTTTTAAATTCTATTAAAGATGATATTTTATTTTTATTACAAGAGTGTATTCATCAACACATCATTTTTAAGGTAAACTTCATATTGCATGCTGATTTTGTTCAACCAACTAAAGATATTCATGATACGTTCGATTTTCAAACGCTTAACTATATTATTTGTTAAGGAGATGACTTAAATATTTTTCTTTCATCTTTAAATGATACAATTACTACTAAAATTAGTGCTTTCGAAAAAAAAGATAGTGGATGGAGTCTAAAAAACATAAAATCTATAGACATGAATGTTAATAAATTTAACCCCCTACGCGGTACTTCATACATAGATCTTCCTCGTGACATAAAATTAAAAAAGGCTGTTATAAATGTAAAAAACAAGGATTATTTTTGTTTTAAATGGGCGTTACTCTCGGCGTTATATCCTGTAAACAAACACACCGATCGGGTATCATCGTACGTTAAACATGCAAATAAACTTAAATTTGATGGTATTTCCTTTCCGGTTAAAATTTCTGACATAGCAAAAGTAGAGAAATTAAATGATATTAGTATTAATGTTTTTGGGTTAGAATATAATAAAGAAAAACGATGTAATTCTATAGTAGGTCCATTATTTTTAACAAAGTGTCGTAAAGATAGACATATCAATTTATTATTTTTTTCCAAGGATACAAAAAATCATTATTGCTATATAAAAAATTTATCGCGGTTAGTTAGTAAACAAATTTCAAAAGACGGTCACATCATGTACATTTGTGAAGCATGTCTACTTCGTTTTCCATCTCAGGAAAGGTTAAATAACCATGAACAATACGATTGTGCTCACATTTGTACAGTATTACCAAACAGTGAAACTTTAAAAAAAATAGAATTGGTTTGGTCAACCTATTTCAAATGATAAAATTAAATTTGATAGTTATGAAAAAAAGTTAAAGATACCATTCGTAGTTTATGCTGATTTTGAAGCATTTTTAAAACCAATAGAATCATGTTCTAACGATCCTTCCAAACCTTTCACTCATAATATTCAGAAACATGAAGTACATAGTTTTGGATATTATATAAAATGTTCATATGATGATAAATTATCAAAATATGTAACATATTGCGGACCCAACTGTGCACAAGTGTTTATGGAAAGTTTATCCAACAATCTAAAAGAAATAAATAGACTTCAAAAATATCCACCACTTCCGCTAACAAATGAAGACAAAAACCAAATTTCAAATGCAACCATTTGTCATATTTGTGAAACTGAGTTGGCAAAACATTTTTATGATTTTGATTGGTACACTGGTAGTTTTATAGGTGTTGCTCATGAATCATGTTGTTCGAAGATCAGAACACCTAGTTATATACCAATATTTTTACACAACCTTAGTCACTATGA